CCTTTTCTAACCCGTCCTTCCTCGGGGGAAGGCAGCATCGCTGCTTCCATAAATATGGACATGCTGGTCGCCTGGGGGAAACACCTTACTGCCTTCACACTCCTTTTGCAGAGGACATACGACTTTACCCCCAGACCGCCTCGTACCACGATTGCTCATAGTGCGGGTTCTCGCTGCTCTTGGTCTGGCTGCTCCCCATTGGCCTTCCTAGCATGGTTGCACCTTGTGGAACGAAGTTCCAGCCAGTGTAGCCCGCGGGATCATTGCAGCACTCAAGTCCGACCATCACATCAGGCAGGCAGCTTTAGGTCGGGAAAGCACACTAAAAGACCTTCCTCGTGTAGCTTCTGCGATCAACCAGATACCAGACGCAATTTTCAAATACCCGTCAAGGTGGCAGCTTTAGGTCGGGAAAGCACACTAAAAGACCTTCCTCGTGTAGCTTCTGCGATCAACCAGATACCAGAGGCAATTTTCGTCCAAATACCCGGCGTACTAACCCAATGCGTCTTCAGAGGAATGTCGCATCGTGACCAAGCCTTATAAGCCCTGCGAATGAAGGTCACTGTATGAATGCATGAACTTATTTGACGAGGTGAATTACCAAGATTGGCGTCCCCTGGCTCCGTACCAAATGAAGAATTCGGATTAAAAACGTGACGAGTCCCGTTTTTTCTTTGGATATTCTCAGTCTAACAGCACTTAAAATGCTGCACTACTTCTAATGCAATTTTTTTCAGAATGCAGATCAAAGCAATAAATTGTACACTGCACTGGTTAGGTGCTGCTTTGGAGGCTGCTCTGAACGAACTTGCCAGCGTGGTTTTACACTAACTTCCTACATTCAGCTGCTGTGCTCTGATTTTATAGTGATTTAAATTTCTAGTCACTCAACTATGGTATCTCAACTCTCAGAACTAGTCGTATACTTCTGGTTTCACAGCAGAAGCGAGTAGACTGGTAGATTTAAAGCAACGACCTAATGTTTTTAAAGCCTAAGACTTAGAGACGCATAGAAAGTGACCCACTGGTGATAGCGGCAACTTTTATTCATGAAACAGCTTTAGAATTATTAGTTAATAAATTTACTCGTGGTCGTCTAGGTGGATGTGCAGCTGAACCCCGCGTTAAGTTGTTAGACTGTTTTGAGAATTTTACTGTGATTATTGTCCAAGTAATCAAGAAGAGCCTCATGTGGCGCGTAGCTTTGGAATTCAGTCACAAATTCCATAGAATAACTGATCATAAATAATTCCATGTCTTCGTACTTATCAACTCTGCAGGTTCTATCACAGTAACACCAAGGTTGTACAAGCTGCTTCGGAAAGATAGTTGTTACATTCGTCATGATTTTACGGCACATGGAACAGTTAGTCTGGTTGAAATCATAACCAAATACATTCAAATATACGGTATTTTGAAACGAAAGAGGAATAGGCGATTCATCCGAGAAATCCGGCTGTGGAACTGTGTCCAACCTAGTTGGTATCAGCTGACTTTCAAGAAAATTCTTTGTTTGTCTTCTTGGAAATACCACTAGTGTCTGGGAGGATTACTGTCAGCCGTATATGATAAACCATTGGATTCACCTACACTTTCACCTTCCAATACCTCCAAACAATGCTCACTGATGGGTTAACCTTATGATTGCGACCTCTAAGGAGTATACTCTATGTATGTCCCAATACAAAATTAAAAAGAGTCTTAATTGCTACTGAAAGAAATTAATATTCCAGTATTTGTGTAGTGTTTAAGGATACTAAACGTTGGGGGCTTGTGGTGGGATGATGATCTCTTGTACGCAGAATCACCCATCTGTTTTTCTCTAACACAGCGATCTCCGCAAGGATTGCAATCCAACTTGATCCCGTGCAAGGACGCTCCTGGAATAATAAGGGGGCAAATGAAGATTATCAGACGAGTACGGAAAGTACGAACGTTAGATTGCGTGCTGCAAAATATCTTCGTCTATCTTTGCCTTCTTGAAAAAGACTTCTACCTGATATTTTTGTGTGAATCATTGTTGAATCACATTCACCTTGCAAATGGCTAATGAGAAGTTATATAGACGATCAATATCAACACCTAATGTGCTAATTTTCACGGTTTATACGTCCAGATTTCATCTGGACGGTCCAATTTACAATCAAACATTACTAACAAGGAGAATGGCTGTATGGTATGACCGCAAAATCTTTCAGTCAATATACGTTGAAACAGTAGTGGCAAGAAGTGGCTTGAATGCAAGCGGGCGGCATAATCAGGTTAAAGCGGCCGCACAGTTTACTCCTCGAAATGATTGATTGATGAAACAGGCATTATGGGGTGAATGCAAGTTGGATGTGTGCTTTTACTTAAACCTAGCGCCCCTAGCGATAGAAAGCTGTTGGAAAATATACCGCTAAAAGGTTTGAGTTCTCGAATCTGTCACTGCTAGAAGTTTTGATTAGTTTTCCAGAGCACAAGATCATAAATAATTCGCAGACTTTCTTGTCTCTAATGCTGCTTGGCTCTCCTCTTGGTCTACTACAGAGAGCACACATTTACTCTTGTCTCTCTATCACTGCCAGTGATTAGTGGCTGTTATATTCAGTAGCTGAATTTATCTAGCAGCATCAATAGGCTAAATTCTGTCGCTACAGACTTCATGGCCCGAGTTTCTCTTTGATATCCTAAGAACGACTTGATTAGGTAGTGCACTGCGTGTAATATTTCTTAGGGGGTTACGAGTACTGCGTTATGTTGATACAGTGACAAGTGCAAGACAAGTTTATTCCATCTCCACTGAAATACGCTTACACTATAGACCATAATCCCTATACTTGGGGTATTTTTTAAAACTGGTGACAGGCGGATGCGACCTTTTACCAACGATCGAGGTAGCTACAATCTAGCAAGCCAATACGCTAAACAAAATATTTTTGTTTTTGGAACTACGTCATAATATACATAACGTTTATAGTGCTCTATGACACACCACGCACTTTTTTCGATAAAAATAACATTTGAACCAACATATCTTACTGTTCGTTTCACTTCCAAGCCTATAGTCAGCAGAAGCTGAAACGAACAAGTTACTGAGAATATTTCTGATTTGGTTCTGAGCACTGAGCATTGTGTTTTTAGGTCTTTATTTGGTGAACCAAATGACACTAACTCTTACCCAGGTAGTTGTATATCTCGGGATGAAAACCCCTCCATATCATTATTGGTCCAATCCCGGGAATTTTTTCACCTCTGTAGTCACCGAAAAACCACAAATAGTAGAAGGAACGGCGAAATCTCATACTAAAATAGTGATATTTCCTAAGTATTGTCAAGGACTTGAAGTTCTCGGGCTATCTCTCCAATGATAGTTGTTCTGCAGTGGACTAATCAAGTTCAGCGCACAACTGGATCCGCAGGGAAGGGAGTCACCTACCCAAGAAAATATGACGAAGCTCGTAAGCTCGATGGCCAGCTCTTTGATCTCTTTTATTTGTATGACTGCTGCTCTCTACAGTTGAATGCAACGTTGTCTTTTGCAAACTTTATAATTTGGCCAGGTTAGCCAGTTAGAGCTTTGACACAAGTACTTGTATTATTTCACAGAAATGAGGGACAACGAGTCTCGCGACGAAATCGTTCAGGCATGAATCATTGATAAAATTAAAACGCTAAGGATCCAACATGGCGATAGTATTGTTGATAATAATAATAATAATAATAATGGCTTAGCTGTGCCATAATTCTGATACATCATTGTCATCTGACACGATGGATGCAAAAGATATGAGATACTGTCAGGATGTTCACTTTGGACCCTCTGTTCCGTATTGGTAAATATAATTGGTCGTTAAGTCACGAAACTGGGTTCTTCAGATTCTTTTGTACTATTCATAAAGTTAGCAAGTCTTTAGCTGTCACCAACTGTGTTTATAAGCCCAAAGTGCGTTGGTGAAGTATTGGTAGCATACTCGCCTCGCGTGTCCCATGACCGGAGTTCAAACCTTGACGCGGTCAAGGGTATGCACTGCTGATAATTTCTGATAAGAGTGAAATTCAAGTTCACTGCCTCCTCCTTAGGTACTAACTTACCAAAACAGTTGCACCATGACACGAGGACGACAACTACCTTGATATGTATTGAACACTACTTATTCAATACGTATTCAGTACTTCTGCGTTCAAGACTGGCAAGACTGGACGCCGGGTGACAAAGAGAAAGTTTTTATTAGTCTTTGAGCACATTGTTCCGGCTAGTCCAGCTGACCGCTTTATCAAAAATTAGCAGTTCAGACGAATTTGCTCTTTATTGCGCTTACTAGCAACCCGCATAAAAGTCCGAATGCTTTCTCCGTCGAAACAAAGATGCTGTATGGAAAAAACTGAATTTGCCCTATGGAGCCATCCCAAAGGTCATAATTATACTGTAGATAGATAGTCAAAAGACTATAAACGACAAAACCAGTTATCTTGTTGTGAAGTCGCCCGTTTTTGATACAATGTTCTCGTTTACTCGGTGGTTGTTCTGTGCGTCCGTCCGAAGTGGCCCTTGTGGACACCACCTACTGTGCAATTATGTGAGCGACGTTACCAACTTACCATGTCTCAATATGTAAACTGTTATATTCAGCAGCGAAATATTACGTCCAGAAGTAACCGTATGTATTGGGTTGGTGTGTATCTTTCTGTCTAGCTGAAGGTCAAACAAATACTGAGATGCAAAGTGGAGTTCCATGTCGTTTGCATAACCACTGGAATACAGCATGAACTTACCCGGTCTTAATGACTAGCAGGTCGTTAAAAACTAATCCATTAAAGCAATACATGCGTAAAGCTTTCTTTGATTTTAAAGGTGAACATCTCTCTGTCTGGGACGACAAGGAATCAGTCTGGTCATACATTTAGTTTGGTGAACCATATCCAGCAGTGCAGTGGTTCCAAATTTCAGAGTTCTTCACTTAATGATCAACAGTTGGGGCAGTCTTTGCAGGCCGCAGCTTGCATTGTTACTGCGAACGTTGTTTGTGACACGCATTAAGAATAAAAACAATTGTGTGATCCTTTGTGGTAGGGATCACGGGTGCTTTTGACCAACTATTATTCGGCGAAGGAAAGTATCCCCCTAATAGAGTTAAAATGATTCTAGGTAAAATAAACATCCCACCGTGCGGGAGGTTTTCGAAAATACAGTCAAATTCAGTAAGTAGAGTGGTTCGTTTACCTTGCTTGATACGCTGGCAAACAATCAAGCTTCGATAATGCAGTCTCCTGAGGCTCGAGCTTGTTGATACCAGCATCAGTTGCCCTCACATTGACCTTCGTGGGTTGCACATTGAAGTGAACATGACCTTCTCGATCCTGGGGGTTCGCTCCCGGCGGTGGCTCATAAAACTAAGGAAAAGTATTGGAGACAGTTAGTTGATGAGGTAGATCCACTCGGACCGCATTAGACTACCAAAAACAGACAATGAGTACGGTGTAGTTCAAAACAATTCTGTTTTGAGCTGTATAAAAACTACATTACCAACAAATAAATTTGCTGGAATTACAAACCCGCAATCAAAGACACTCCCCCCCTATGAATTCTTGAAATCAAGCTGTATAGACTACGTACTGTAATGCGATGCCATAAAAATTGTAGCAGAATCTTTTACTAAATTTAGTCGGTCTTGCGATGCTTACGGTTCTTTCAGTCGGTGAGCATATCCTATTCACAAATGTTCTCAACTCAAATGTCTCCCTAAAGTATCTCATTTTACAGCTGTTTTTTCGGATATGAGATATGTGTTTTAATGAATTTGTTTCTGTCAGTGAGTTCCTAGCTAGTTTTTAACTATTGCGTACTTGTAAGTACTCCTCGAATAGTCTCTCCTTATGCTTTTGTGCTCAACTAGACAGCTTCCGTCAACTAGACAGACTACCGAAATTAGTCTCCGAAAACACCTCTCTCCAAGTATCACATTGCAAGCATTTGTGATACACAGAATTTCCGACGGATTGTTTAGGTGTGGTACATGAGTAACTCATAAACTGCGCAACGGTTGCACTTGCTTACTCACTGATTCAGAGATTTCTTTGTTGGGTGAAAGTGATCTTACTAAACACTCCTGTTCCGTGTCTTTCCAGTTTCTGACTACTTGATACTGATACCTCTCATGAAGGAATTTCCACTGCACAAAAGTCCAACCTTCAAAAAAGATAACGTTATTGTTATCCTGTGTTATCTCATTAGCAGCTGCTTCCCTTAATAGACTGCTTTTACCTTACTTTCGACGCAAAATGTGGTATGGAAAAACTGGTGCAGAAAGGATGCTTGAACAACAGACAGGATTGTTTTCAAGGTAGTTTGGACCTTAGAAAGCGACTCACATCCTTGGGTTGCGTAATTACTGCGAAAAAGGGTGAGAAAATCTGATGGTGCGTTACTAAGCATGGCACGTTTAATGGCCAGTACTTGCTGTCGTTCACTGTTCTCCAGATAAGATACCCAGTTTGAAATAAGTGTACTTTGGGGTGATATTATCATATTGGGTTATTGAGAGACCAGTTGGAAACATAGGATCTGGTAAAATTACCACTGTGAGTTATGTGGGATTGAATTTCCTTCACACAATCAGCCTTACAGCTGTCGGGTAGTTTTGCAAGGTTCTAGTCATTCTCAGAAGCCCGTGAATGGCCTATACTAGGATGGATCGGCTTATGTACGGTTGCACGTATTTGTCAGACAGTTTTTGCGGACCAATCGAGATGCATCAGACAAATTTGTCTTATCACTGTCCGGGTAATAGCATGACAAACATTCTATTTTTCAAATCAATAACGAATTTGTAGGCATAAAGCGATCTACAAGTAACCTGAACACAAGCCAGACTTATCTTTTATGCCCTGTTGAAATGTGGCGCATCTATAGCAAAATGGTGTTTACTGCGCTGGAGAACCAAAATCCTTGTAGTGAAAAACAGTAAGTCTGTGGATGACATGGGCCATCCCACAAAATAATACTGAACATTTTCAGTGGTTCATTGTAGTATGTTTGCAAAACAGATTGTGTTATTTTTAAACACCCAAGCGACAACTCTGAAAAGAACCTTGCTTAAAAACGCCCGGTCACCGTTCAAGTAGACCACTCTCCGTTCATTTCCACCGATCGAACATAAGTCTATTTGTTAGCGTCAAGTTCGGCGGTATCCGTTAATAGTATGTACGATTCAGTGGTTCTGTCTATAGCATTTCCCTATGGACTTTTGGGTGTGCCAACTAGGACCCTGTTAGTTATTCTCCACAATGATGGGGCAACTGTACAGCGCTTCTCCGCCTTTCAGCATACGCTGGTTTAGCTTAAAAAATGAGACCTGTCCTGATAATTCCTAAAACACGTCACCTTATCGAATTTTATCCTCACCAGTAGAAAGAGAAGAGTGAGGATCAAATTCTCCGGCGGGCTACCTTGGGGGACAACTATACTTCGCATTTGCGCTGTGAAAAACTCAATAACATGAAGGACAGAAGTTCATTTTGGATATACAAAATTTTTCTGTTAGTGTGGATATCCAAATAAACTCTCTGAAATTGGTGTCGAGAAAAAAATTCACAAGTATTTAACTTGTTGCAAAATCTATCGAAACACTATGGGAATGTGCAGCTTGTGCGCCTTTCGGAAGTGCAAACTGTGTTCTACAGTCTTTTGGGGTGAAGAGGTCGTACTGTAATCAAAACACTGAAGAAAATTCTCTGTTGCCATCTCTAATTTAGGCCGCATTCTTTACAACATCAATGATTACGTCTATGTAAATACGTCTTATCATGAAAGCGTTTTTTGAAAGGCGGCTAACTTTATCCGTTGTGGAAATCCGACGTAGCTGGCACAAACTTTAAATTATGGCAGCATTTGTTGTAATGGAGTGATGCGTTTTGCCACAGAATTCTCCTAGCCTGGGATCCCCAGCTGTTGGTCATTAATCATTGACATCTCAGTTATTTTACATGCGCTATGTCAGGTTTCACTGTTTTGGATTCTTCCCACTTGGCATTGTTTTCGTATACGTGTATATAATGTGTACAAGGATACGTGCCTTTTCCTTTTAAATTTCTGGCTATTTCTGAGTGTCAAGCTCATAGCAGTAAGTGACGAACTACAATAGGTAGCCATATGTGCGTCCACGGCGGGTCTCATGAACTGTGTGGGCCATCAACTAGCACGTTGCACATGACGTGGGACCCAACTTTTCAGATTTACCACTCGAGATGGAAGTTATAGACCACCAGTTGGGAATGTTGATGGCTTTAGAACTTTCCCGTCCTGAACGCCCACTTATCATATTTTCTCGCGTTTACGGCAAGCACAGTAAGTTCAACTGAATACATATGCGCCTCGAGCAAACCCTCTTTGACATTACCCACCGTGTTCGTGGCCCATTAGACCCATTAGACCAGATAAATCCTGAAGCGGATGCCTGCACAACATGATATAACCGGGTTTTTCGAGACTCTTTACTTCTGCACAGTCCAAGGCAACACTATTTTACCGGCTGCATTACATGTGCTGTTAGTTGCCGTTGCAGAATCTATCTGTTAATAGCACTGGTACTATTACTACGCTAGGTCGTCCTGCATTTATCCTCAGGGTAAAGGTTTACCTTTCGAAGGTACACAGCGGATACTCTGGACAGAAAGGAGCTATCCCAGTGGATACGAGCCACAACGAAGATGGTTACTAATGAAGTTTGCATTTGCTTCACTGTAACCTCCTGTAATTGTTTGGCCCGTCCCCGAACATATAGGTGCGTCATCCACCAGTGATGAGTTTTTCCTGACAGTTCCTTAACTTTAAGGCCTAGCTAAGTCAAACCGTTTATAATGAAAATAGGATACCTATATCGTTGAAACGTGTCAACTTCTGGCAGCTTACTCGAGTCATATAATGAGTGACGAATCGATCCGGAGGCCCTGCATCATATTCCACATGTCCATGTTCATTGGATGTGAAGCCAGTCGACGTAAGCGGTCCAGAAATTTGTTTGCCCAGTTTGGTGACCTTACTTGGTGGTTCCACTTGATGCCCAAGGTATGTGCCTTTTTCCATGCTGCAATAAAACGTTAGCTGGTGAATTTAGCAACAAGCATAAATGTACTTATGTTTCAGTTTTCATTATATTGTTTTTCCTCAAAGCTTTTGTAGTCCAAATGGACCATTTGTTGTGGATGAGTATCTGCTGTCGAGATTTGTATATTTTGTGAATTTGTCTTACCGATTTGGAACTCAGCTCCGATTTTGTTTTGCTTTCCTGGAGGTTCTGGTATTACGCGTCACTTGAAGATACCGTTTTCTCACTAAACTCATCCTCCAAAGCAGTGTACGTCAAATATGATGTATTAAAGATCACAGATCCCCAAAAATTCCTAGTTGGTGGCCTGGGAGAGAAATAATGAACTGCTATCGATGGATCCTGGATGATCTATCCTAATAACGTCATCGAGTTGATCTTGACACGCAAAGTGCTGGAGCATCCGGTCAGTGATGAATGGGGTGTTGACGATTGAGTTTCGCTCGCTGGTGAGTTATGTAATGAAGAAAAACAAATGAAGATTTTCGGGTAAATCTTCAATGTAAATTATGGGTGACGGGCTTGCACTTGTCCCTCCACAACCCACTGCACAGAGATGGCCCACAAGGACAACTTCAGGCTATTTCCGTGATATGAGTCCTAAAATTGTTATATTTTGACAGACTATCACAGTCACCAAGTGAAAATCCTTCTCGATGTCCGCGAGATGCAAGTTCATCTTTCAAGGGAGACCGGGATAAGAAACTTCACTCATATTTTGGTACTAAGTATGTGAATGATCATATAAGAGTCGACTTCGCTAAAATGTGATCAGCGCCCCGAAGGCATGACTTCGACTAGGTGCTGCATAACTAGCAAATTTGTCTGTCTTTAGAAGCACAAAAGAATAACGAAAGAAATGAGATTTTAAGGAGGAGATTCCAAAGCGGACACTTTAGTTAAACAAACTAGCATGCTCAATCCCGGGAAGTCGTCTCCGCTGAAGCTATCCATTTAGTACAAGGAAGTGAGGTAGTCCCCCTGAAGAGTGGGCTATAACACTTACTCTTTTGGAACAATATCCTGCCTTACCCATAAAAACGCCTTTTTATACTACATTTTCTGAAAGGCCGCTTCAAAAGAATCAAGTATACACACCCTTTCACCCTTATAAGTTCTACAATTCTCAGTAACGATTTCTTACTCGCCTCTTGATTATTTTTTCAACGCTTGAATTTCTTCGAGTAAAGGCATCACTTGGAGTAGTCCGCTGTTTGTTGGTCCCCTCCGAATTTCCGTGGGAGAGACCGCATATACTTCACAGCAAATGCATTTCAGGGAAACATCTGTCAAACTATTTTGTCTGTTATGCTTCAAAATCAGCTCAGCGAACAGATTTCCCTGCAAAATTAGAGAATCATGTGGTTTATAAGAGATACGGTTACCTCTCCTGAAAAACTATTTAAAGAAAGGCTGGGCTATTAAAAACTGGCTCTTTAAGTGGATTTTAAAAGTAAATTCCTCTCCACAAGGAATCACTTATGGGACTTTGGTGCGTCTGGTTTCCCTCTGGAGGTACTCCTTTTGGAAAAGACAAGACCATTATGTGCGAAGCTCTATTCAGGCATCCCTTTTACCGTCCAGAACATGGTAAACATTAGCAAGTCATCTAGCATCTACAGTGTGTTTCGTTGAGATATTTTGAATTTGAATAGGTGACAAGGGAATATCATCCGGTACTCCCGTTAAAAAAATGTTCACTCTTTAGCGTCAAATCATGTAGCAGCCTAGCCGTCCCATTTACTTCTGACTGCGCTCACTCTAAAAACCTTGTTCTTGCAGTGGTGAACGAACGACTGCCTCCTGAGTCAGTCGGATTCGAAAACATCCCGTACATACACATGCACGGCGACCCATTGCTAGTGCACGAATCGCCACCCACTGTCGGTTCCAATCAGGGGCTATATGGATCACTTGCTAACCGGGATGTTTTGAAAAGTTACGAAAAAACCTGACTGGTTTACGGAGTTATTTATATTTGACCTTTAAAAGCCCAATGGATAGTGAGCTTGTCTTTGTGTGAAAAGAAATGGAGTTCCGTGCTTCCTAGTTGTAAAACGCTTTGGTAACAGGTGGCTGATTACACCCAGCCAGTCAGTTGAAACATCAATCATCACCCCACCCCCATCATCATCATCATAGACAGAATGGTATCAGTGTTCAACACTAATGCCTCGCTGCCATTCAGTCCTTATTGTGGAGAGAAGAATGAATCGGATAAGGAAGGTACTTAGTGTTAGCCTGCCACAATCGTTTCTAGGCGTCTACACCTCCAGACACTCACTCAAGAATTCTGGAGAGAGACGGACAACAAGAATATCATTGACATCTATTGGCTACCATGTCTTGCAGCATCTCCAACCAGGTGCACCGGGGATCACGCGGTCCCCATCCTGGAAGATGCGTGCACCGACAGCACCCAAAAGTCTTACAATCTGTTTTGTATTCTCTGCTGATCAAGATTGGCCACCTCTCTGTTTCCGACACTCTGAAGTGGGCACGGAAAACAGCACTCCCTTCGGCAAACGATTCTCCGGCATGCGCAATACGTAGCATAATCAATCGCCTTCTATTTATCTCGCTACGAATTCTCCCACACCAACGTACATGAGCTATGGTCCTGAGGCAGCGATTGCTGAACACCAGAAGACATCTCAGTTTCGCTGCTCACACAGATCAAGTCTCAAATCTTTACAAAAAGCAGCCCGCACTGTGGCCTGATAAACACGTCCATTGAGGTCCAGGGATATACCGCTTTGACGCCATAGGTGTCTCAAATTAGGAAACGCGACCCGAGCTTAGGATGACCTACCTACACATTTTTAAGCACAAGAGACCTACAGGACATAACAACTACAATGAACGGGTGCAAATATAACGTTTATGAGCGGCGAATCTTGTTAATAAAAGACTCCCTGATGGTTCTGACAAGGAAGAATTTGCTACACTGATAGGATGTATGAATTACTAAACTTTTGACCTGGTATCGGTTTACCACCAGATCTCGGTGCTGTTATATGTCCAAGTTTGTACAAGATTCAGCCTATGAAACTTGCAAGTGTATAGGAATTAAAACAAACATTGTTGGGATACCGTTAATCCTACATGATAAAGTTCAATGGTGGCCACATGAGGGTAAAACTCTGACGAGTTCCGCAAGAATGTTCGTATAAGTTAAAATGTTTACCCTGTGTGGACTCACTAGGTTTCACTCAAACAAAGAATATGATGTCCGCACATCAGTCTTCATCATTCTAACGCATCGTAAACGAAATTTTTATAGTAGCTCATTTTCAAGGAACTGACTCTACACACGGTGAAGTCAAGTAAGCGGGCTAAGTTCTTTCGAGTTGCTGTTAGAAAAAGGTCATAAATGTCAACGACAAAAACCGTAACCCTGGCCGTTTTGCCATCAGGGTGACATGAGAGTACCAGTGATTCCTAAATGCCTAAGTCGTTCGAAAAATACGTTTCTGACTCGAAATGCAGAATACACACGTTATTCGATTCCTGTATCGGAGGTTCCGTTAAATTTCATTCAACTAGATAGCCTCGACAACCTTCTCGCTTACTTGAAGACAGACATCTCATTGTATGGGGTTCTCAAACAAATCTGCGGAAAAAATCCCTTAGAAATTGAGTTGGGCATAATGCTGAGGTCCTTATTTATCTAAGACATGTCTTTTGCCACCTGACCTGGAAGAAAACGGCCATCTATATATGGAAAACTTGAGGAAAAAGCGTACGCAAGATTTAATATATGTAGGCCAGGAGGACATCTTACGGTGTTTTTTTGTTGAAGAGTATGTGATCTTGTAAAGAACGTGTTTTTGTTCTTCGTTTTGGATGCTACTTATGGTTCAGTAGAGACTGACAGCTTCGAATGTCAAAAAATAAATCAGACTCTAATTAATGCACCGGGCAACTGTATAATTTGATGAGATTTGAAAACTGCTTGGTGTTGTTTACACTCAGAATAACAAAGGAACCTGAAGCCCGTGCATCCTTTCTTGCACCGGACCTTCCATACAAAGATAACATGTGCTAATCTCCGCTAGCTAGCGATCCTCCATTCAAACTCCAAAAGAAGGCCGAGTTAGAGGATGAACGGAAATTTGGAGCTAACATTGTCTTCACTATGTGTGTGTGAATTGTGGTGGGATTTTAGATACTGATCAATTATTAAAATCTAGCCTGTCCACCGTCGCGAGTTGGTCGACCTCTTTCAAGACCGATGAACTTGTACACTGTGGCAGCAAGACGTGGCAGGCATAATAGAAATGCGCTGATCCGTGTTCTCCAAGTTTTCTTAGTTTTTTTTTGGTCAGTCTAGGTAGCCACAAATCTCCATCCGCCATGACAAGGTAAATGTCCAAGCCTTCAGTTTTTAAGGCACAGAACATGCGACCATCCTTCAAAAAGTATCTTGTTCGTTTGTGACACTAAATGAAAGTGGGTTATATCATTGCAAATTTAACCTCATGACCAACTGCTTTTCGCGGGCAGCATATTAAATTTTACTCTAAAAAATGCACGATGGAAAAAATACTTTTGACAACTCTAGGTGTAATCGCTGACTTCAATTTTAGAGTAATCGGCCCTATCACATCCCAAAATATATCCACGTCATGCTAAAAAGCACCTGTCTCAAAACTCATTCAAGTTCACATCTTCCGGCAGAATTCAAATCAGAAAGTGACAAATCAAACAGTGAAGAACTAGCCAAATTTACCTTGGCTCTTTGTAGGCGTGTATAGCATTCTGATATTCGGCCGGATCATTTTTCTTTAACCAATCAAGTTTTCTTTCTGGGATCTCATTGGCTTTATCATAAACCTATAAGTTATAAAAAGAACAACTAGAGAGGTAAAAACCATTAACTGACTGGAAGATTGAAGTGAATTTGCATCCGGTGAATTGTAAATTGGGATACGGGCTTAGAGATAAACCAAAATAACATTTAAGTGCTCCGATTACATGTAATCCAAATACTAAGTCCATAACACACGCTCCATAAACGAAAGTAAAAATAATAAAGCTCTTTCAAGAGAACCAAAACTGTCGTACATGCTGCTAGCAGTAAAAATTAAATTAAATTAACTCAGTCATTTTTCCATGTTATCTGGAAGATAACATTTCATTTCTTTATAAAAAAATGCTCTTAAATGACTGACCGGTTTCATGAACGCTAGTGCAAATCCTAGGTTACTAATTTTGTAACACAGAGGTCATGGGTTATTTCTTACTCTCCAGCAGTGTCCTTATACTTACGGCATTTGTAGCTGGATTTTTTTCGTGATACACCGAATTACTCCGTACCCCTCCTTCTTCCAAAAGGATCACTCAGTTCCCTACAAAGTTGGCTTTTGAATCATTCCACAACTAACTACAATGTATAAGGGTTGATGATAGGTGCATAGTATAAGACACGTGGTAAGCCCACTAAATTAGGATCCCCTTTCACATTCTACAGTACTGATTTTTATATATTTGAGTATGACTAGTGTTGCTTTTAACATTTTCTCATTTTTTATTCTCTTCCTTCACTGTTCCATTATGTTGTGTGGAGCGCTATCAAGCCTGTCCATTGTCGATCCTCACACAACGTCCAAGCACTGTGCGGATCACAGAAACCGTCCTTCTACTACCAGTTGGATTTCTCAAACTATGAACGAGTGGTATATTATGTTGCGTGATGACAGAGTGCGAAGCACTAGGCAGGCCATTCCAAAGCAAATCTAAGCATCAACAAATTTCAGCACATAAGTCCTTCTTTACTACTCATTAAGGAAAGTTAGTGCGTTCACATAACCATCAATACGTTTCGCTAAATGTTCATCTTCATATCCAGACATGGACATAAGTGAATTTTTATTGAGCTCATTCTCATCATCATCTTTATCAGCTTAAAAGACATGCAATTACTTTGCATCGACTATAGCTGCCACCGATTCCAGCATTCACCGTGACTTTTTGTCCGGTCTATCGTGTTTATCAACAACATCAACAGCACCACAGAACACAGTCATTCTTCTTTGTAAGTACTACCATCGTAGACTCTTTCATAATTTCTCAAACATTACATAGAGCAAGTCTATCCCTTTGGACTACTATGGCCGCGTTCCTTATCATCACCGAACATAACTTTCACCAACTCGTTATTTCACAACATGTGACACACCCCGCTCAACTCTCCTTGTTCTTAGTGTCCTTGATGGTCCAAATATAAACCCTTAAATTCATTTATCTGAAACGTGAAGGATTTCGGAGCACTTCGTGGCTACCCTCAATTTTCACTGCCAATCGAGGGACATTTTAAAATGCGAATTAATTGTCATTTGGTTATTTATGGCCCATTTTGCTGCGCATCGAGTTGTAGAGTTTTGGCAAACCCTCCATTTTCCCAAGGAACTGACAAGGAATTTTTCGTCATAATCGTTTGACAAATTTCGTGACTGCGCACCCACTACTTGTTCCTCCATTGCCAGCAACACAGATGACTTTCTATCGGTTGATGGTTACTGTGGTTTGCACACCTGCACGATGTGAACACAAAAGAATTATTATTCTACTCAACAATAATCACTAATACCGATTTACAATCAAGCAATCTTGACCTTAGAGTATTAGTATCCAAAGTCTTGGATACTATTCATGTTAGGTGTAGCTGGGCAAGAGTTACAATGACTGGACAATTAATAGGTCCTAACTGCATTTTAGTCTCACAACGCCAGCCAATGTATTAGAAGTTCTAAATAAGCAAAAATGAAGACGGTTCCGGATTGAGCAGACTACTGGGTGCATCAAGGAAAACCAAGAAAACGAGTAGTTCTCAAAATATAGTCGCGTGACAATCAAGATACACGAACATTTGCCCTGGCTGTACACAAGTAGGATTTCACACGTAACTATGTGTAATTAGACGCCAAATTTCCTACAATCTAGGTGGATTCTGACGAGTGGAGAGTGCTTGATCATCCCGTCTTGCACGCTTTGTTTTTAGATGATGAAACTTCTTGTTGTTTATATTTCTTATAAAACTTGCTCTCAAGCCCAACGTTAGGACAAAATGGAGCGTGTCTGAATGATGAGCCGTTTTTTAATGATTGCACAGCAACGCTGCGTCACCGAAAAACGTGTATGTTATCGAAAGCGTAAGTCTTAAGTACTTACGTTGGTAGGGTGAACTGGAACATAGTCAGGCCAAACTTTGGTTTCCTTGACGTAACTGTCCTTGTGTGTGCTGGCAGGAGGGGCAATCCAGCGTGCGAAAGCCTCTTTACCATCCGGTCTTCCATATGGCACATATTCATCATTATAGTTTGTCCGCCCAGTCGGCCTATCCGTTTGTCCGCGGAAATCGCTCATAAGGTGAGGTGAAATAGGACGACCGGTTAGAGTATCTTCCATGCAGTTGTTGCGAGTGCTTCCTGTTTCCTCTTTCGGGCCCAGCTGGAAGCGCGCCAGCTTGTCTGTCAAAAGGATTCGCAGAGCAATTCAACCAGATCTTCACCCTTATGGCGCAAAATTAACATATTCCTTTTACTTCCCGTGCTTTGTATATTATGTGCGAAAACGGTGACCAAGTTCGAATGACAACATGATGAGACAATTAAATTGTTACCAATTTCCACTTATTGTTTGCCCACCGTCTCTCAACATTTATCAAAAGAGTCAAAGCAAAACTCTGTAGGAAATTCTTCCTCAAAATCCAGATTTTCATGTTTGTTGACCGTGTCGGTTCAGGTGCGTAAACTCACCTTTAGGTAATAAAGGCCTTCCAAACTGAGCCTGATAAGTTGACTGATTTCTATTCGGACCCTGTTAGGCGAAAGAATAACGTAATGAGCTGCGAATTACAAAACCATAATTTTCGGCTTCAATCTCTCCCTTAGTGCGTTTTGAATGAAGCAAAGGCGTGTGCTTTGGTAGTACAGAAGTTACGCTTCCTTTTAGATTGTCATCTATCAAGGTCATGTTGTCCTGCAGAACACCGTTGGAAAATTGACCTCAAGTGAAAAATTACCTTCAAATGGGGTTTTCCATATTTACTAGGCAGGTTAAATCTGGAGAGTGAAGGAATTGGTTCTCGGCCATCCTGTGTGGAGTACTGGACAAAGTCTTTATGCGTTACAGAGAGATAGTTTGTCTCTAGTACATCTCTGAGTAGGATTTAACAGCAAAAAAGGCTGAACAAACTTCATTTTTCTATTGTCTATATCATCCATGCCTGGAGTATATTGAATAACTGGTCTTTCGTTTGTAACAAAACCGGATCCGTAAAGCGATACAGTCTTCGGCTTGAATGGTTCCCAGTGTTGTCCATAGGATGTTTTGTAAGACGTGCAGTAGTGATTGAGGACGTCCGTTTCACCTCCTCGACTCTGTTTCACATGCTCCGAAGCAGTCCCAGCGTACATCACGTACTGCTGAGTTTGATCCAATATTCAGCCTAATTCTAACTTGGGATCGGAAGATAGGCTAAAAAAGATCAAAATCACCATTAACATCAAGCAAAGATGAACCATATTTTAGAATGCAGAAAATATAAACTTCAAAAACATCGTTGCGTTCAAGAGTTCTGAAGCACAGCTGGTGATGCAGGACCATTTACGCACAAAAAAACTGTTCTATAAAACGTCATTTTTCTGTCTAATTAGGTGAAATTCTACGTCGCTCTTAAGAGTAAATTGCAATAGTAATACTCGGTATCTCACCCTTGGCTTCCGATAGGCTCTTAAGCACTTTTAACAAATAAATGGAATCCCTTTTCCTACTTATATGTGTAAGTTTACAAGTCGCTGTTGCTGACAGTGCAGCATATTTGCCTATTTTATGGCTTTGATTTGTGGAATTTGGTTTCAGCGATGTATAAGAAATTGGGCATTTGGTGAGACAATAAGTGCTTTACTTGAAAACCGCAGACAGCAACTATTCACGTGCTATACGTACCGAGTTGACGCCTAAATAGTCCATTGTTGCTTTGGCTGCCCGATTTGGATTCACCTTTTATGGGTAAGAAAATAATGTGATAACCGAAGTTACCGAACGAAATTAATAATCTGTCTCTGCCGTCTATCCTGTTCGCTCTTCTTCTGACCATAGCGCTCTTTCCCACCTTCCAAACTTCCTTTAATAACCTGGCATTTAATGCGACATCCGCAGACATATGATGAAAACTCTTCCCAGCACTGTCCGCCCAGCACTCATGTATTCATTTTATAACTCACAAAATTTAATCCCGTCAGCCATTTAACTAAGTAATTGTAAGCTATCTGATGAAAGACACCGTATTTACCAGTCAGCGGTTTTCATAACCTAACGAGGTCATAACGGAGACATCATAACTTGGCCTCCGTCCAGGCTGTAAACCTCGGCTACAGAAAGAACTGTGCTTAGACCAAGTATCGGGCGATATAAGCACAGGTTTTATCGTTACCAACAGTGTTTGGCGATTAATGTTTTCCACACAGCCGTTCAGGATTTTCGGGGCCAAAAGTTAGCGGATCCACCTTTCATTTTTAGCTCAAGATTCACAGCTTCTCTGGTTCCTTCCAGCCTTTCTTATTTTCTAATTCATGTCGTTCATTTTTGAGTATAATATAGTAATAGAGAAAAGCTCCTATTTGTTTCTTATTTAATATAAACACGATTGAGTTTGTGCGTGACTTATCATAGCACCATTTCAGTTGCGATTTTTAAGGGACAACCTAATGTGGTTGAATTTGACCCGTGGTGATATTCCAGAGGGCGTGAGAATCCTTGTACTACTTCACAGTCATAAGGTTGTATTGGAGTATCGTCCATTAGTCGTTCCGAAAACCAGAAGCCGGTCATTCAGTGACAGTGATCACCGCCATACTAAGACTGTCCTAGCCTTCTACTACCAGTTCTACAAATATCAATCACACTTTTAACTATGTTAGGATGAATGCTCTGCTTTGTTATCTTTCTCTGAATTTTTCAGATTTCTACAATCTGCCAAAGATTTCCAGCAGAAGTAATCAACTTTTATGAGCACAATGACGAAGGCCAACATTAGTTCCTGGAATTCTCTTTTTATCTTTCCGATAACCGTTGACTTTAAATTGGTTTGACGTTGAAAATATTTACGAACATATTTGCGGACATTCATATTTTAAGTGCTGTCTTCAACTTATTCATATTGTCATTGCAGAATACTTGTAATGGCAGACAAAATACGCTCTATTTCAGTGTGCCTATTTTGATACTACCTCCATATTTTGCTTTGAAGCTGAAGGAAACCGCCCTTCACAATCTATCCGTGATTCCCAGCACGTAATACCTAGTTGTTGCCTACTTTCAATAAGAAATGTGTGCTATATGTACATGCGCAATCCACTAAGTGTTTTTCCAGCTTGACCTAATCAGCCGAAATGGATGTAGGACATCGGCCAGAATGCTGTTTTCACATGGTACAGTAAGCAAGTTTCAAATGCAGATCCCTTCTCATAAGACATGTTAACAGGTACAGCATTTTAAAAACAGCAGTGTCGATGAGTTGAGTTTTTCGTGAAGAAAATCTTCTAGCAGCCAAGTGGCAATCACCTTGCTAACCCGAGTAACACTCACGTAGCAACAAAACAACCAAACTAGGGACGGACTTTCATTTGCATACCGATTTGGAGCGAAACATTCGCCACACATGTTCCAAACTCAACCTGTAGCACCAGAAAACTGTGTTCATTAAACCGCCAACCATTGACCAACCTAATACGGTTGGCTCTGCGAGTGCTGCGTGGATACCCAATAGGATAGCTCAGTGACCCGCGGAAGTACACAGACTATCACATCGCGGTAAGGTCCAGTCTCTTCGTGACGGATGCGAGAAAGAGCCATGATTCAATACCCTGAAGACCACTGGAACATAGAGAATCACTGATAAATGATTGAAAAAGCCCACTAGGTGCGCCAACAGTGATTTTGGTGGTCATTGGGTTGGGAATGATCGAAGACCTTGCGATGTGTAGAAGCGAATAGTTAGTGTACTGGAGGTCAGATGACTGAACCAAAAAAAGCGCATTCATTACAAAACCCATATGCATGCTACATTCTTCCGGTGTTACGTAAAAAGAGGTAGCGCAGTTTTGCATTCGGTTCCGTTTGTTTTATTTCAAAAGGAAGTCACGTTTTCATCTATTTTCATCATGGTGCACCACATTAGCTATTGGCGGTCGTGGTGTCTCGGTAATGGACCTACTCGCGTGTACTTCTCCCGTGAATTGACATCGAACGCCAAAGTGAGATCTAGCCATTATTGTAAAGTTGGCCATGGTTACCCTATAAATGACTACATTGAAGCAATAGATATGGCTCAGAGTCATATTACAGACAATAGATTATCCTAAAACTCAATAGTGCGCATATTTAAAAGCCATCTATTTTATTAACTGTTATTTCCTACGCTTCTTTCATCCCAGACGGAGGATTCTCTTTTGAAATTAATGAGCACTTTCATATGGCAGTTGCTAGCACGCGAAGCACAAAGTGCCACTTTAGCAACAATAGTAAATTTTGCAAACCTGACAAAATTTGGAAACATAAAACTGAAGGATTCGCAAACTTAGAGGAAGGCCATACAGTGACCAAACACTTGTTGTAAGCCAAAATGCGCCAGATGTTTGCATATCTGGTATTCGTTTAACATACGTTCTGGATGGGAACCACCTGTAAGGCGTTCTGTAGCCCGCACCAACTGTTTGCCTTAGGAAGCTCTATGCACAGTCTAATCACTGTGATGTTACCAGAACCACACACAGAGCACTCGCAACAGATTTTTATGTATGAGTGTATGCCTTCCGAGTGTCAGGCAGTAAAAAATTGACTTATTTTTTAACCTAAAGACCAGCCTCCTCGAAGTTCACTCTAAGACTGACTGGTTCCTAATTTTATATAAACATAGGGTAATGCCCTTCAAGCGGAAAAAGATACGGTCATAGAGCACTAGTAATTTATTTGTGCCCTTATCTGGATTATGAATCAGTAAACTGAATAGTACAGGATGTGATCACGTCAGCTTTTCTAAGACATTCAAGTGCACCAAGTAATCATCTTTGACAAACATTATTGTAGAAGCGAATATGTAAGGGTCCACGTCTTTGAAACCTGAGGTCGGCTGATGTCAAACGCTTCTTTCATTACCTTTTCATGATAGAAACGGGATCAAATGGGGGAACTGTGAAAAAACGAAGCCTGGTATTTCTTTAATTTTAGGCTCCACACATTAGTATAAAAATGTTCCGCGTTTCTAAGAGTCTTTTCAAGGTGTTTTTTTAATCACTTTTGATGACTGTTGCTGAATTTTAGGGAGTAGATACCATTTACGAGTAACTTTTCCCCCACGATATCGATTTAGTTACACTTCTTTCTGACGTGCTCTTTTTGAGTCCGATTTTCATTCCTAGTCTTTGGATACTTTGTACCGTACACGTTTATTCCATTCTACCCACTTTTTATACCAAATGCTGACCCACTGGGTTTTTACACTAGCGACAAACTTTTGAACAATCCTGTTATATTTTTTGTGACACCTTTATACGACCTTACTACCAGGCTGACCACCACTGAACTACGCAGGCCATTATCCGTTCTTGCATTACTCCTGGGGTTGCTACAGTTGGATATGTCGAAAGTTTTGTCATACAGTATCATCAAACCACCAATGGCTGACGATGTTCCAAAGTCAATACGCGGTCAAACAACGTTTCTGGAATCCAGCGGAGAAGTTTTCAATACTGTGATTCTACACTCCCCAGTTGAATTAGGTCTAAACTAGACAAGGTGCAAATTATGAAAAAGATATTTTTACAATCTGTTGGATGAATTATTCACTGGATTCACACAACTGCGCTGGATACTATGCCAGGCGTTTTGCGCCGCACATGGCGTAACCCTTTCAAATCGAACGTATTTAGTGGTTGCTGGTACCAAGCTGGTTAGTCATGCGTTGCAGGCCTTGCCTCTGTGTCTTGTTAGTGTTTGAACACTATTGTTGTACTGGCAAAACGCTCTGCACGCGGCAAATCTGTAAGCAGTGAAAATACTGAGATAAATTCAGACGGCTAAGATGCAAGATTTTCACTTCACTTTGGTAGTTCTAGTAAGACTAGGTAGTTGGTGGAAAGCTACTCTCGGGCAAGTTTAATTAGTACTTTACCATCAGGCCAACTATCAGTCTCCTGTAGGAAGTGTTCATCTGGATGAGTTCTAGAAGCTAGGTGTTCAAAATGTTTTGACGCATTTGTACTGACCTGGTGACGCAAAGTTCCGCAAGGTTTATCACCTCCTGATCACGTTTTAGCCAAGCGTTTCATACTCAGTCTACATACTCAACATGTTGTCTTATGTAGCCTGAAACAGAGCGTGGGTTTAACTGTTCTCTTTCTGTTCTAGCCTACCTTAATCTCAGCTATGTACCTGCGGTGCATGCTGCCTTCTGACACTAGAAAGTATTTCTTGCTG